TTCTTTCCTCTTTCGTTTTCATGGTTTTAGTGCTTGTTGAATTTATAATATAATATATATATATATATATATATATATATATATATATATATATATGTGTGTTTGTGTGTGTGTGTGTGTGTGTGTGTGTGTGTGTGTGTGTGTGGTGTTGTGGTGTGTGTGGTGTGTGTGTGTGTGTGTATAATAATATTAGTTATAATATATATATATATATATATATATATATATAATATATACTATATATATATATAGTATATATGTAATAGTAATATGTGTATATATATATATATATATATATATATATATATATATATATATATATACAATATATATATATATATATATATTTCAACTACCATTTACATACATACATACGCATACATATGTATATGTATACGCGTGCGTGCGTGCGTGCGTGCGTGCGTGCGTGCGGCGGCCAATAACGAAATCGGTGTCCCCACGGCAGCGAACACGTCACGCCAGCAAGGCACTTCTGGGAGAGAACTTCCTGACACATTTTCGTAAGTTTTAATGTATATGATAAATTGCTTCGGCTACCACAAACTTGCCTTTTTTTTTTCTTTTTCTGTTTTTTTTTTTTTTTTGTTCTTTCTCTCTGTCTCCTGGTTCCACAAACTGCCTTTTTTTTTTTTTTTTTTTTTTTTTTGTTCTTTCTCTCTGTCTCCTGGTTCTCTCTTTTCTTTGCTTCTTATTTTTCTTTTTCTTTTCTTTTTTTTTGTTTCTTTCTGTCTGTCTCCTGTGGTTCCACAAACTGCCTTTTTTTTCTCTCTCTCTGTCTCCTGGTTCTCTCTTTTCTTTTGCTCTTCTTATTTTTCTTATTTTTCTTTTGTTTTGTTTTTAGGTATGAGTTTGGCGTCTGGAATGGTTTGGTTTCGGAGGAATTTCACAGCGGTTTTTTTTAACATTTTTCTACGGGTGTTTAGGGCTCTGCTTAGCCCTTCGGTAGGGTTTCCCTCTGCGCTCCAGGTCTGTTGTCTGTCTGTCTGTCTGTCTGTCTGTCTCTCTCTCTCTTCTCTTTATATATATATATATATATATATATATATATATATATATATATATATATATATATATATATATATATATTATATATATATATTATATATATATATATATATATATATATATATATATATATATATATATATATATATATATATATATATATATATATATATATATATATATAATATATATATATATATATATATATATAATATATACATATATATATATATATATATATATATATATATATATATATATATATAATATATATATATATATATATGTACATAAATATACATATATATATATATATATATATATATATATATATATATATATATATATATATATATATATATATATATATATATATATATATATATATGTACAGTATATATATATGTTATATATATGTATATGCACACACACACAAACATACAGACATATGTATGTTTCACTACTTTCCCTAATCGTCCCACCTCTCTCCCTCTCTTTCTATTCGCTCTTCCCACTATTTTTTTTTTTTTTTTTTTTATCTGTCATCATTTATTTCACCCTTTTCCCTTTCCCCTCCTTCTCTCTCCCGTCACCCCCTCCGCTCTCTCCTTCCCTTTATCTCTCTCCTCCGCCTCTCCCTCTCTCCTTCCCTCCTCCCTCTCTCCCCGTCACCCCCTCCCCCTCTCTCCTTCCCTCCTCCCCCTCCATCTCTCCCTCTCTCCCTTCCCCTCTCTCTTCTCCTCCCCCTCTCTCTTCTCCTCCCCTCTCCCTCCCTCCTCTCTCCTCCCCCTCTCCCCTCCCCGTCCCCCCTCTCCCCCTCTCCCTCCCCCTCTCCCTCCCTCCCCTTCACATAAAGCGATCTCCAAGATTTCCTCTCAACACGCCCATGTCGGAACACAAAACGAAGTGGGCGTCGTATATAAACTCCCCGGAAGATGTTGTAATGGAAAAGGGCGTGAGGGGGGGGGTGGGGGTGTGGGGTGGGGAGGAGAGTAGAAGGGGGTGGGGTGGGGGGGGAACGAGAGGAAAGGGGAGAGGGGGAGGGGAAGGGGAGGAGAGAAAGGGAGAGGGGAGGGATGGGGAGGAGAGTAGAAGGGAGGGTGGGGTGGGGGGGGGAACGAGAGGAAAGGGGAGAAAAAAAAGGGGGAAATGGGAGATCAATGGAGGGGAAGGGGAAAAGGGGAAATAATTGAGAGATAAGCCGTAAACAACTCGGGTGAGAGAGATAATACGGATAAAGCGGAGAAAACCGGAAATTGAAACAACGGGCGGCGGGAGAGGTGATGGGCGGTTTATTTGCGCTTCGTCCACGCCCTGCGCAACAAACAGACATACACAGTTACAATATACTAAAAAAAAAAAAAAAAAAAAAAATCAGTAACAATTATAGATACAAATATAGATAGAGATAAACACAATTACGATATACTAAAAGAGTAGACACAAATACTCGATAACAAACATGGATACAAATATAGATACAGACAAACGCAATTACAATATACTAAAAAAAAAGCAACGACAAATACTCAATAACAAACATAGATACAAATATAAATACAAACAAACACAATAACAACATACTAAAAAAACACAAATACTCAATAACAAACACAGATACACATATAGATACAAACAAACACAGTTACAACATACTTAAAAAAAGAAAACACAAATACTGAACAACAAACATAGATACTGTACAAATATAAAAACAAACAAGCAAAACCACAAACGCAGACTCAACCGCAAGCAAACAAGCACAAACAAACAAACACCAACTGTCCTGCGGCTCCCATCAGAGAAGCAAAGGAAGGAGAAGGAAAACAACAAGGAAAACAACAGAAGGAAAACAAAAAGGGAAAACAACAAAAATAAAACAACAAACACAAAACCACATACGGAAACGAACAGAAAAGAAGAAAAAAACACCAACAGAAGTAAAACAACAGAAAAAATAACAGAAGTAAGACAAGATAAAAAATATCAACAGAAGTAAAACAACAGAAATGATAACAATAGAAAAAATAACAGAAGTAAAACAATAGAAAAAATAACAACAAAGGTAAAACAGCAGAAAATACAGCAACAGAAGTAAAACAACAGAAAAAAAATAACAACGAAAGTAAAACATCAGAAAAATAAAAACAAGAAGTAAAGCAACTGAAAAAATAACAGAAGTAAAACAACAGAAGCAAAACAACAGAACAAATAACAACGAAAGTAAAACAACAGAAAAAAACAAGAAGTAAAACAACAGAATAATAAATAACAGAAGTAAAACAACAGAGAAAAAAAACAACAACAAAAGTCAAACAACAGAGAAAAAACAACAACATAAATAAAACAACAGAGAAAAAAAAAAAAAAACGACAACAACAGAAAGCCAAAAACCGTCGACGACAACCTCTCCTCGCGACGACTCCGCCAACATCGTTCGTCTGGCAACCAAGAGCAGTCATGTGGCGCCAAAAGCTCTCTCTTCTTATCGCCTCTCGCTTGTGCATATCTATCGGGAGGGGAAGAGGGCGATAGACAGAGAGAAAAGGGAGAGAGAGAGAGGCGTAGGGAGAGATTAAGATCATGTCAAGCCGGGGGAATGAGGGAGAGAGTGAGTGAGAGGAAGAGGGTGGAGAGAGAAGGAGATGGAGATAGATAGATTAATCGATAGATAGATAGATAGGTAGATAGAGAGAGAGTGAGTGAGATAGAGAGAGAGTGAGAGGAAGGAGAGAGAGAGAAGAGAGAGAGAGAAGAGAGAGAGAGAAGAGAGAGGAGAGAGAAGAGAGAGAGAGAGAGAGAGAGAGAGAGAGAGAGAGAGAGAAAGACAGAGAATGGGTAAGAGAGAGAGAGAGAGAGAGAGAGAGAGAAAGACAAGAGATAAGAGAGAAGAGAGAGAAGAGAGAGAGTAAGAGAGAAAAGAGAGAATAAGAGAGAACGAGGGAACCAGAAAAGAAGTCGAGAGAAAGAGAACCAGCAACAGAGAGGAGAAGAACGAAAGCAAGGAAATGCACAATACCCCCCCACCACCCCCACCCCCCGTAGCAATCTCAGCTCCAATACGTAATGCAAACATGCTTGATAAATACTTCCCCCTTCTCTACGTATCAATAAATAATTCAACACAATGCTAGATAATAAACGAGCAGAGCATAGGCGTTCTCTCTCTCTCTCTTTTCTCTCTTTCTCTGTTTATCAATCTGTCTGCCTTCCTGCCTGCCTCCCTCTCTCTCTCTCCTCTCTCTCTCTCTCTCTCTCTCTCTCTCTCTCTCTCTCTCTCTCTCTCTCTCTCTCTCTCTCTCTCTCTCTCTCCTCTCTCTCTCTCCTCTCCTCCTCCCTCTCCCTCTCTCTCTCCTCTCCCTCTCCCTCTCCCTCTCCTCTCCCTCTCCCTCTCCCTCTCCCCTCCTCCCTCCAAACCCACCCCCTAACCCCGTGTCCTTCCTCCCCGCAGTCTAACGCTCTGTCTCCCTCTCTCTCTCCCTCTCTCTCTCTCTCTCTCTCTCCTCTCCCTCCCTCCCCTCCCTCCTCCAAAACCCACCCCCTAACCCCGTGTTCTTCCTCCCGCAGACTGAACGTGTCTCTCTCCCTCTTCCTTCTTTTTCTCCCTCTCCCTCTCTCCCTCTCCCTCTCCCTCCCTCTCCCTCTCCCTCTTCCTCTCCCTCCCTCTCCCTCTCCCTCTTCCTCTCCCCCTCCCCTTCTTCGAAGACCCACCCCCTAACCCCGTCTCCTTCCCGCAGACTGAACGTGTCTTCTCTCTCCTCCTCCCTCCTCTCCTCCCTCTCCCTCTCTCTCTCCCTCCCTCGAAACCCACCCCCTAACCCGTGTTCTTCCTCCCGCAGACTGAACGTGTCTCTCTCCCTCTCCCTCTCCCTCTCTCCTCCTCCCTCTCCCTCTCCCCCTCCCCTCCTTCTCCTTCTCACTCCTCTCCTCCTCCAAACCCACCCCCTAACCCCGTCTCCTTCTTCCTCCCGCAGACTGAACGTGGACCAGAACGGCGGTGCGTGGTGTCCCAAGGTACCCGTGGACACCAACTCGAGGGAGTACCTGCAGGTGGACTTGGGCTCCGTGCACGTGATCACGGCGACGGCGACCCAGGGGCGCTTCGCCAACATGAAGGGCATGGAGTACACGGAGGCTTACAGGCTGGAGTACAAGCGGCCCGGCCTCCCCGACTTCAGGACCTACATCAGCAACGGCAATGAGGTAAGGAGGGGATGGGTGGAAGGAGGGGGAGGGAGAGGTAGTAGAAAGGGGGGGGAGGGAGAGGGGGAGAGGAGGGGTTGAAGGAGGGAGGGACGAGAAGGGGGGAGGAGGGGGTAGAAGGGGGGAGGGGTTGTTGAGGGGGAAGGGTAGAAGGCGTTGAAGGAGGTGGGGGAGGAGGGGGTGTAGGGGGGGGTAGAGGGGGTTGAAGAGGGGAGGGAGGGGGTAGAAGGGGAGGAGGGGGTAGAGAAGGAAGGAAGGGGAGGAGAAGGGGGGGAGGGATAGGGGGGTAGGGGTTAGAATGGAGGGGAGGGGTAGCAGAAGTAGGGGGGGAGGAGGGGGGGGAGAGGGGTAGGGAGGGTTGAAGGAGGGGAGGGGGTAGAAGGAAGGGAGGGAGGGGGGAGGGAGGGGGAGGGGAAAGGGGCTACTGTGTGGGAATTGTTGTTATCATTATGATTATCTTTATCATTGCTTTTATTTAGATGTATTTACAGGTATAATTGAAAACAGAGATATAACGAATACTTATGGTTCCCCCAAAAAACACACATACATATACACAAATGCATACACACACTCACACACCTCTTTAGACTAAAATATATCTACACGATTATGATTAAAATATCTTTTAATATATGGAACTTCTACTGTATTTCACATTTTGATAATCGTTGAGAAGCAGAATTACTCAGATGAATAAGCGAACTTTTTCACCAAAGTTATATATTTTTTAATTTATAAACAAGAAAGCAATATGCGTAATGAAATTAGAACAAAGTATAATTTCAGTAACTAAATATGATGAGAGTAACTTGTGAAATTGTTAATAACAACACATTCTTAATAACTAACAATAAAAAAGAAATAAGGGGGAGGAAAAAAAGGCAGGGAAAAAGGGGTTAAATCGCAAGACAAGAAAGTAAAAGTAAAAGACAACACAACAAGCCATCAAAACTCACAAACAACAAACACAAATAAAAGAAAATGACTACAGAAGAAGAAACAAAAAGACAAACAAACAAACGAAGATGAACGCAACCCTGCCTCCTTCCTCCCCCTCCCCCTCTCCCCCTCCCCCCACCTATGATACATACATATGTATAGAGATAGATAGATGGAAAGACAGACAGATAGATGAACAGATAAATAGACATATAGATAAGTAGATAGATAGATAGATAGAGAGAGAGAGAGAGAGAGAGAGAGAGAGAGAGAGAGAGAGAGAGAGAGAGAGAGAGAGATATACATACAATTTTAGATAAATACATGATTTGCGAGAAAAATAATCAAATAGATAGATAGATAGATAGAGAGAGAGAGAGGGATGGAGGAAAGGAGGAAGGGAGTAAGAGAGAGAGAGAGAGAGAGAGAAAGAGATCAAGAGAGAGAGAGAAAGAGATCAAGAGAGAGAGAGAAAGAGATCAAGAGAGAGAGAGAGAAGAGATCAAGAAGAGAGAGAGAGAGAAGAGAGAGCGAGAGGAGAGATAGATAGAGAGAGAGAGAGCCGAGAGCGAAGAGATAGATAGAGAGAGAGAGAGAGAAAAGAGATAGAGAGAGAGAGAGAGATCAGAGAGAGAGAGAGAGAGAGAGAGAGAGAGAGCGAGAGCGAAAGAGAGATAGAGAGAGAGAGCGAAAGAGATGAGATAGAGAGAGAGGAAAATAATAGATAGATAGGAGAGAGAGGGGTTGGAGGGGAACAAGGAAGCCGTAAGCAGGTGAATGTAATCTTTAGAAGTGCCATAGAAGGTCGGAGGCTTGACGAGTCCCCGGTGGGTCTTTTGGGGTGTAAGGGGAGGGACCGGGAATTAAGGGGGAGGGGATAAGGGGAGAGAAGGAAAGGGAATTAAGGGGGAGGGGATAAGGGAGAGAAGGAAAGGGAATATGGGAGAGAAGGAAAGGGAATTAAGGGGGAAAAAGGAAGGAGGCGAGGGAAAATGGGGAGAGAAGGAAAGGGAATTATGGGGGAGGGAATAAGGGGAGAGAAGGAAAGGGAATTATGGGGGAGGGAATAAGGGAAGAGAAGGAAAGGGAATTAAGGGGGAGGGGATAAGGGGAGAGAAGGAAAGGGAATTAAGGGGGAAAAAGGAAGGAGGCGAGGGAATAAGGGGGAAGGAGAAGGAAAGGGGAATTATGGGGAGGGAATTAAGGGAGAGGAAGAAAGAATTATGGGGGAGGGAATAAGGGGAAATGGGGAGGACGGAATTAAGGGGAGGATAAGGGGAGAGAAGGAAAGGGAATTAAGGGGGAGGAATAAGGGAGAGAAGGAAAGGGAATTAAAGGAGAAGAGAAGGAAAGGGAATTATGGGGGGAGGGGGGGGGAATATGGGAAGAGAAGGAAAGGGAATTATGGAGAGGAAATGAGGGGAAATGGAGAGGGAAAAAAAGGAGAGCGAGGAATATGGGGAGAGAAGGAAAGGGAATAAGGGGAGAAAATAAGGGGAAATGGGAGGAAATAAGGGAGGGGAAAAAGGAAGGAGGCGAGGAATAAGGGAGAGAAGGAAGGAATTAAGGGAGGGAATAAGGGGAAATGGGGAGGGAAAAAGGAAGGAGGCGAGGGAATAAGGGAAAAGAAGGAAAGGGAATTAGGGGAGAAGAAATAAGGGAAATGGGGAGAAATAAGGGGGGAAAAAGGAAGGAGGGAAGGGAATTTGGGAGAGAGGAAAGGAAATTAAGGGGGAGGGAAAAAAAGGAAAGAGGGGAGGGAATATAGGGAGAGAAGGAAAGGGAATTAAGGGGAACAGGGGGAAGTAAGAAAAAAAGGAAGAGGGAAGAATAAGGGGAGGGAATGAAAGGGAATTAAGGGGAAGAAGGGAGATACGAAAAAAGAAAGCAGGGGAGGGAATAATGAGGATAGAAGGAAGGGAATGAAGGGGGAAAGAATAAGGGTATATGGAACGGGAATAAGGGAGGTAGAGGGAAAAGGGGAAGGAAATAGGGAATAAGGGGTTAAGGGAAGTAAAAGACGGAAGAGAGGATGTATTGAGGGTGGAAGAGAGAAGGGAAATAAGTAGATATTGGGAATAAAAGAGGCGAAGAGGAGGGAACAAGAAAGATAGAAGGAAGGAGTAAGTAGATAGACAGACAGGCAAACAGATAGACGAATAGACAAAAGATAAATAAAGTTAGATAGATAGATAGAGAGAAAGATATAGAGAAAGATATAGAGAAAGATATAGAGAGATAGAGAGAGAGAGAGAAATGAGAGAGAGAGAGAGAGAGAAGAGATAGATAGAGAGAGATAGAGAGAGAGAAAGAGAGAGAGAGAGAGAGAGAGAGAGAGAGAGAGAGAGAGAGAGAGAAGAGAGAGAGAGAAGAGAGAGAGAGAGAGAGAGAGAGAGAGCATGAAAAGAACAGTCCTTAGGCAAAGGATCAAGAACTTTGTTCGGGGAACGAAGAAAATTGGCTCCATTTAAGACTCGAGCAACCAGCGAAAAGTTGAATACACGACATACCAATAATGATACGAAAGCGAAGACGGAAGAGAAGAAGAAGAAAAAAAAACGAAGGAAAAAGAAAAGGATCTTTCCTTTTCTTTTTCCTTCGTAGATTCAACTTAGAAAATCAAAAAAAAAAAAAAACCGGAAATTACGAAAAAATAACAACAAAGTAAAAAGAAAAAAACAGAAACAAAAACAAACAAACAAACAAACAAACAAATACAGAAATCAAACAAAGACACAAGCAAAGAAGACCACGAAAAAAAAAAAAAGAAAAAGGAAAAAGGATTTCTTCTTCCTTAGCAGAGAGAGAAGAAGAAGGTAAAGTCTCAAAGTTGGGCTTCTGTTTGTCCCTCAGGCGACCAGCATCGGCACTTGTAAATCTTAGAAGTCTTTGATGGAGTCCTTTTAAATCGAGTATAAGAACGGGACGGGGAAGGAGAAGGAGGAGGGAGGGAAGGAGTAAGGGAGGAGGAGGAGGGGGGAGGAGGAGAGGAGGGAGGAGGAGTTAAGAAGAGGAGGAGGGGAGGAGGAGGAGGGAGGAGGAGGAGGAGGGAGGAGGGAGGAGAGAGGAGGAGGAGGGAGGGAGGAGGAGGGGAGGAGGAGGAGGAGGAGGGAGGGAGGAGGAGGGAGGATGGGGAGGGAGGAGGAGGGAGGAGGGAGGGAGGGAGGAGGAGGAGGGAGAGGGGATGGGAATAGAGGAGGAGGAAGGGAGGAGGGAGGGGGAGGAGGATGAGAAGGACGGTAAGGGGAAAGAGGTCCAGGGTGAGAGGGGGGAGGAGATGGCAAGGGAAGAGAGGGGGCAGGGAGAAAGGGGAAAAGGAGGGGGGTGACAAAGGGAAGAAGGGTAGGGTAGGAGTGGGATGAGCAATCAAGGAGGAATGAGGAGAAAGAGGGAAGGGGGACTTTCTCTCCAACTCCTCTCCTTCTCTCCCTCCTTCCCCCTATCTCTCTCTCCTTCTATCCCTTATCTTTTCCTCCCTATCTCCCTCTCTCTCTTTCTCTCCCTCCCTCCCTCCCTCTCTCCCTTCCCTCCCTCTCCCTCCTCCCTCCCTCCCTTCCACCCTCTTTCCCCCCTCCCTCCTCTCCCTCCCTCCCTCCCTTCCCTCCTTCTCCCTCCCCTCCCTTCCTCCTCCCTCCCTTCCCTCTCCCCCCTTCCCTCCCTCTCCCTCCCTTCCCTCCCCTCGCCCCTTCCCTCACGGTCCCTCTTCCCCTCATGATTTCCCAAGCGGTGCGAAATAATGGCTTCCAGACGGGACAGTAATGAGAATTTTTCCAGCCACGTGTGCTGTTATTTCCCTCCTCACGAATTCGGATTGATCCGCCATGACAGAGAGGAAGGAGGAGGAAGGAGGGAGGAGGAAGGAGGAGGGGGAGGAAGGAAGGAGGAGGGTGAGGGAGGAGGGGAAAGGGTGGAGGAGGGGAGGGGAGGAGGGAGGGGGAAGGGGGAAGGAGAGGTGGTGGTGGTGGTGGAGGAGGGGAGGGGAAGGAGGAGGGGAGGAGGAGGGGGGAATGGAGAGGTGGGGAGAGGAGGAGGGGGAAGGGAGGAGGTGGTGGTTGGAG